GTAACTTTGTCTGTGTAACGCCAATTGACCAATAGAAATTTTTTCAAACGTAAGAATGTTAAATTATGCGAGATTATCGTTATGCGAATTTCTTTAAATTATGCAAAATCGCATATTTTATGTGCCGCTAGGTGAATTATGCGAATATTATGTCGAATCATAATCCTGGACACTTCACATGACGCTAATTACAGTGTACAAAATTCATAAGATTTATAAATTTTAATAACCATCTAATCTAACTATTTTTACTTTATCTTCCTGTAACTTACATGGCACGAAAAAAGATTATTTCAGCTATTTCCCGAGCAAGAGAATATTCTGATAATTTTTACGCAGCAAATAATATTCTTATCGTGAGAGTGAAACACACCAAAGAGCAAAAAGAGGATTTTTAAATTTACAGCATACTGATAGACAACAATCTATAGTAATTTATATATTAAAGTATGGATTAGTGATAAATATTTTATTCCAAATTAATACAAATCTAATTCTAATTACGTACAAATTAATACAAAAAATTTTTCCGAGTCTCTGCCTGGATGCGTATGCGGGACGCGCCATTAATCGTTTCACGAAATACTATAGATGTATCTTTTTAATTTTGGCCAATCAGAGTTTTTGTTGATTAGCCAATCAAAACAAATTTCCATCATGTCTCAGACGAGTGTCTTCCTATGAAGGATGTATAGATTCTCACTTTCAACTCGGGATTTTAATACGCGATTGAAATTTATTCGACAGGATGGTATTAAATTTTATGATCCCCATACCAATATTGAGCAAGTTCCTCGGGATATACAACCCACAAGAATTCGAACAGAAATGATATCAAAAACATGGAATAATACGATTATCGAATCAGAAATCAAGTTTGATATAGTTTCCAGAAATTTTTTTGGAATACTTAGTCCAGAGGTCATGAGTGTTTTGCCGGCGGACATTCGAAGTATTATTGAACTTATGAATAACGAAGAGATTACGCTATATGAAGGGAATAAATACCCTATTGCATTGATGGACGGACAATTCCAAGCTTCATATCCATTGTGAGTAAACTTTATGGTTTTTATTAAGAATAGCAACCCATGGTATTAAAAATGAATAAAATTTTGCTATTTATCATAAGACATAATTCAAGATTTCTGCCTGACCCCTTCGCTAACGTAAACAAATTTACGTCACCACTTATTTCTACCGTTTCTTCGGTGACTAATGTTAATGAGGATCAATCACATAATCAGAACAATAACCAGGTATATATAATGTCTCACTATTTTAAGAAATATAAATTATCGTTATTAATTAATTTAATGATTATGTGATCAGAATGGAAAGAGTGGCCTACAATTTAGTAAGGCTAACCCTCAATATATCTGTGCGGTTATAACTGCAACGACCGGAATGCCATGCAGGCGCGCCGTGACAGCAAATGGGAAAAGATGTATGTATCACAGGAGTACACCACGTGTGACTTGTCACACTGACGGGAAATCATGTACTAATTCCGAATCCGAAGCTTCACGTTTGGCTCAGGTAAATTTATTGTTTACTAGTTAGGATTAAGTATCTAAAAATTAAATTTTGGTTTTGATAACGTTTTGCGTGTATAAGCGCGAAATAACGTCCAGGGCGTTGTTTTGGATCAAAGTTCAATTCAGACCGTAATTCGAAATTATATTTATGGGTTATTTTTGCGCTTATACGATAACCAGGCCGATTTTTAAATCATGAAAACAAAAAAATTTATTTTGTCTGGCCTTATGTTACAAAAATACTATTCCTGATGGATCGGCAGTGACAAAAAAAAAAATTTGAGTACTGTTCCTGATAGGGTAATAAAAACGAACCCTAATCCTAACTTTTTTATATACTTCACTATAGTAGTATAGTATTTTAGAGGCCCTCTATTAGAACCCTATCATGAACGGTATGTAAATCGATTTTTTTTTTCTACCCCATAAGGAACAGTGCCGACGATCTATCAGGAACGGTATTTTTGCCTGATGTTTTTAAGAATTTATACTGAATTATATAAATTCTTTTTTTAATTAAATATTAGCAAACTGTCGTGACAGAATCTTGCACAATTACTTCAGATTCTAATGCACAGTCCATTATCGCTCCTTCTGAGAATGTTTGTGCACAGTGTTTATCTGCTACTGTTCCCTCAGCAATGATTTCGCCTGATGACTTATTGCCATGCCCAAATGATTATACTATCAAATGTTCTCAATGCCAACGTAAATTTCATCCGCTCTGCTTGACTCTTTCACAACCAAGGCTTTCAAGGCTTTTAGTAGCAATGGAAAGCTACCAATGGCAATGTAACGATTGCAAGACATGTGTTATATGTAGGTCTTCCGGTGACGAGGCGACATTGTTGATTTGTGATGACTGTGATCGTGGTTGGCACCTTGACTGTAGCTCACCAAAGGTGACCGAAGTACCAAGCGGTATAAATCATCATTAATTTTACAGGTTTTTATAAATAATGCAACCCAATTAACTTAACTATCATTTTAGATCTTTGGTTATGTTCACTTTGTGCGCAATGTGATTCATGCGGTGAAAAGGCAGTTTCTTTAAATAATGCGGCAAATAATTATCATCATGTCAAAACAACGGGGACAACAAACTATCCGATTCATTTAGCATGAATCACAT